TGCAGTTTTGCTGTTTTTTCAGTTTTAAATGGTCATTCTGTGCAGATTCTCAGAAGGTCACACAGTAGTTTTCCCACTGGATGGGTTTTGTATTAAATGCAGCTGCCGAAGCAGCAGGTAAGTTGTGGCTGTGTAATAATGTTACATGGTTGCTATCTGACAGATGTGTCTCTCCAGCCCAACTGAGAGTTGACCATGACTGAAGTTTCTGATGCACTAAACAGGCCTTAATTTCCTCTACTGACAATCAAAAGCATGGTTCATTTTCACACCTCCAAGACAGGCAATGTGACATTGAAACATTTACAGAAAGCCTTTAAAATGGATAACTTACACGGTGATATGGACTTGTAAGCTCAAGAATTATGAGCAGTCATAACATTTACAACTTCCTATTACTGTAAAGGCAGCTTCCAAATATACAGTTAAAAAATGAAAACCATCTCCAGCATTTTGAAAGATGCTGCTACCAAATGTTCAGAGATCAGAGATGTGCAAGACGAATGGTGACTGAATTATTGCCCACAGACACTTTAATTGTTACTGTTTATTACTTAAGCCAAATATTTACTCACAGAAGTGATGTCTATGAGATAAAATGTGGGTCCTGTAACAACCTCAGGGTCCTCCCAGCTAATTTTCATGTTGTTGGAAGAAACTACCACAGTAACGTTTTCAGGAGCAGCATCAGGATCTGAAAAAAAAGTATATATACCGTACTAAAAATGTCAATCAGTTTCACAGACAAATTGTCATTAAAGTTTGAGGTGTCAGTGCTGTGAGGTTCTATACATATCCAAAGGGCTTTATGTATAAAAACAATAATATTCTTTTTTCAAAGAACTGATAAAGATATAGAGAGTGTTTAAGTGCAATGTACAAACTAAAGGACTGAAAAGAAAAATATGTTTTCATGTTGTCATAAATGAATATGCTAATTGCCATCGAACTAGCAGTGTATTTGAAGAGCTGTGGTATTGATTTGAGAACTTTGCAAATATTCAACATTTAACTAATTGTCTTTTGTTTCTCCAAATGTAATTTGTAGCATTTTTGCAAGCAATGCACTAAACTAATTCTTTAAAATAACGCATTTATTGAAATGTGTTCATGCTTCTCCTACACAGAAAAACAGAGAATTTTGTGTAAAAATATCCTGAAATAAAATGCATGTTTCAGACATGCAAAATAGAATGATTTTCTGACAGACCTACAAATAGATGAAAGATGGATACTGCAGACAGTAAAAGGAAAATAACCTTGAAATGTAATTGATTTAAGAGTTTTAAGAGTTTGACAGGCTAAAAGATTACTAAATTAAAACTGAATACTTGATGGATGTTTTTATAGTTTTCTAAAATAAATTATTCTTTTAGTAAATGTGACCATCACTAAGTAGCATCCTTGAATATTTTTTTTCTACACAAAAGTGTAGCATGAACAAAATATGAACAAAACAATATCTGAATACCAGAGAACAAAATACTAATATTAAATAAACCAAGGAGAAGATAAAAGTATTTTAGGAAGGTTTACAGATCTACTCAGTGACATCTGCAGCCTACATTTACTTGCTATAGTACTATAAGCACTAAAGACTTATTAAAGTTGGGCCTATGATTTTTTGGTGAATTAATTTTATTGCTGAACTTTATTTGGCCTACTGGTGACTGTCAATGACTGATTTAAGATTATTTTCAAATAAAATGCTGTCAAGTCTTGGTACTGTCAAGGTATCAGTATACTGCAGGGTCTTATAAATCACAGCAATTTACTCAGGAAAAAATGTCCTGTCCTCATTCTCTCAGCCCCACATAATCCAAACACTTCCTCTCCATAGCTCCTTTCTCTAGCCCTCCATAATAATGCATTTTCTGTAACTAATAACCGTCATTTCCCGATTATCATGCTTCCATCCTTCCTCAGGAATGTGGGTCTTACAGGGGTCAGGGTCATCTTTCCTCCTTACTGTGTACCCGGATGCATGGATAGTGGTTAAAAGGCCTTGGCTGGAAGGTGAGTCTGGATAACACATCATTTCACACACAATTCCAAGCAATAGTTCTAGCAGGCAGACACATTAACAGGGAAAGTCACGCCTGCCACTTTCTTGGTAAGTAACCACCTTGCAGAAAGATGAGTACATGGGTGTCAAGTCCTTTTGAGTTGACTGCATCTTGTGCCTTTCATCAGCTTTTTACCCATTTAATTAGACATGTCCGATATCATTCCCCTTGACTGCCACTTAAGACCAAATGACACATACATATTGTGTATAGCTGCACTGAAAACCCAAACAGGACTTTTCACTAATGGAAACTCTTTTACAAATGAGAACCTCTGCTGATCATAAACCACACTGCTGATAACATTCTAAAGAGTTCAGCTTTCTTTTCTCACAGTAGCTTTTTATACCAATAAACCTTTAAATGAATTCCATATGCCACACAGCATATTTAGTTCATCTTGTTACTAATAAGTGATTTCTCTTATCCAGCAATTTCTTGAAAAAAAACTGGGTTATCAGCTTCAACAATGTGGGAGGGTAGCTTGTTCTACACCCCCATAGCTCTTTGTGTAAGGAAGAGCGTCCTGTTCTCAACCTTAAATACACTTCCCCAATCTGTATTAAAGTTTCTCTTCCCATACATTCCTGATATCAAAATGTTTTATACAGCTTTCCTGTTTTGTAAGGGATAAACTAATGGAAAACTAAGAAAATGTCATTTATATACTGCACATACAATGTAATACATTGTACTTACGCCCTGGTAATGTTTCTGTAGTTATCCATTCTGAAGCATTGCCATAACCAGCATTTGTTCGGGCTGCAATACGAAACCTGTATCGTCTGAATTTCATAAGAGAATATACTGTGACCTCCAGGACCTCATCTGTGCCATTTGTATAGTGCATTGCTTCATTTTCGACACATTCAGCTGTGATCCAATCATTACACCACGTGGACAGACGTTGCACCACGATCTGGTACTCTTGCAGGTAGCCAGGAATCGTGTCAGGTTGAGACCAACTTAAGGTCACACTTGTTGACTGGATGTCACTGACATTTAGATTCCGAGGAGCACTTGGAACTTAGTAAAAGGAAACAGAACAGAAGGAGTTCATCTGTGGTGAATAAGAGCAGTAAACATACCTTTCCAGACAGTTCAATATTTAAAATGTAATGAAAATAAAAACATGGCTTCTCTTTTTACTTAATACTAGAAGGCAAACAACCTTCTTCAAATTAGATAAACAGATAGATAAGCCAACATGGAAACAC